TCCTTGGGTCTATACCAGGCGATTGCCAGAGTAGAACCCCAATAAACAGGTCGCACACGATCTTTCCTTTCTAATCATTATCTCCTGATCACTTTACACACACTTATTCGTTCTACTCTAACAAACGCGCCAGGAGACCAATGGACAGCCTGCTCGAAGTCTCTTCTGATTTGGACGGTGCCTCGCTAGAGTGGATATCTGGAGGGGAAAACCCGCAATTCGATGAGTAGGTCGGCGACGGATCTGACGAACACCGCCACCTCTCGGATTACAGCGAACACTACACTCACGGGAATAATGACCAAAGTAGTTGAAGCGCTCGGAAACGCTAATTACGCTTTCACTCCAGCGTCAGCATTGTCTTGAGAGACATTGACTTCGTATTTGTTTCACTTTCTTCTTCGCTCCACTATTTAGTGGCACATGTTGAGCACATGCCATATTGTGGCACCGTGCCATTGCCGCGAACTCGCGATGCTGCTAAAGATATCCATTCTGGATCGAGTGGGAGGAGTATAATGGAACCGGCAATTGGCCATGTTCGACACTGAGAATGGGAATGGTTTAGGAAAGAAAGGATAGGGAAGAGGCATGCTATGGGAATTAATCATTGAAGTTAAACAAGGAAAGACCGACGACAAGTGTCCGCGTCAAAGATTCCATACTGACTGAGTATAAGTTATTAGCTGATGTGATGTGAAAAACACATTGTCGGAATTCGGACCTACGACCTTTGGAATTTGCGGAGCTTCACTTGCTAATGATGCACACACTGGCACCTCAATCATGATGTCTTTAATGTGTTGTGGTTCTCGACGAATGCGGCGATTAAGTAAGTCGCTTTTTGACAACTAGGAATATTGTGTATTTATGAAGGATGAAATCAAAATTAGATGGTTGGACGTGGTGGTTACCCGTTGCGTTCAACGCCAAAATTACAAGATGACTCCAAGCGACTCTTGTCCACATATTTGTACGATGATTCAATCTCCCTGTTACATAGCGCCTGGCGATTTTTACACTAGGAATGCTTATTAGAAGGGACCGATGCGAGAACCAATAATGCACTTGTAGGCTCTACACGTCGTGCATACGAGTTAACGCACGTATCGCGACAGATCGGTAATCCCGTTGTGCGAGATATGATAAACATTGTTTGCCGTGGGACCTCGTCGATGGGCCGGAGCGAGTCTAACAAGTACGAGTGGCGGAGCTAAGTGCAGGCGGTGCGCGCGGCGCTCGTCAACTGTTGTACGTCAGAGGCGCCAGTTACTCAGCGCGCCGCGCCCCTGGGCGACCGGCCGGCCGCGTCCGCCGCGACCTTTGCCCCCGCCGCCCGCAGGTGGCTCAGGCAGTCGGCTTCGGCCGCGCTTCAAGCCAAATCCCGGCATTGGAGATGCTTCTGCGACTCTTCTCAAAAACCGATACCTACTTGATGCCGTCCTGAGCATTTTTGCAAACAATATTAACAATATGTGCTGATTGCAGCGATATGCCCCTTGCTGTAGTTAGAGTTAGTTTTAAGATTAGGAAACAAAAATATTGTAAGCCGACTATGAGATATGAGAGGCGGTAACTGATCTATTTATTTCGTGTAGGTTGGGATGTATTAAAAATGTTAGCGCTGCTACAGACTCAAAGAACAAACGTTTTGTGTCAGCTCTCGTATGAGTCCTCATCGGTTGGATGAAATCAGCACACAAAGAGACAATCGTTTTCCTTTCGAGTTCTTTGTATTACTATCCACTCCAAATCAAGGAAATGTTTTGAGATGTATTAATTGATGTTGGGTGCTGCGCAATGTAGGAAAGGGAAAACAAAGCGTGCCGTGGAGGGGAAGGGGAAAGACAGAGAGAGGAGGGGGGTGGAACGTGAAAGAGAGCGAAAGAATTCGCAAGAGGGCTTGCAAGGCATGAGGAAGCAACGCGAGCCACTGACACGTGGATGAGGGGAGTCAAAGTCCAGCGCTGGAGCCTCAACTGTACTCGAGCAGCCCTAACGTTTCCTCGAGAATGCTCACTTCTCACATCTCTCTCCTCGAATCTGCTTCCGACACGTGCTCCGGGGAAGGACAACGTGTTCTCCAAAGGCACACAGCTTCTGGCGAGTCATGCGCTCTCGGCAGGCGGCGCAGCGCGGCGGGTGCAAGGGCCTCTTGTGCCCCCTGCACTCGCGGACACTCGCCTCAAATAGCGCCGCCGCTAACGGGAGGGCCTCCCGAAATATATTCGGCAAAGCAGAAACGGAATGTAAAAACAGCAAGCGTTAGGGAAGTAACCGTTTCGCTGCGAAGCAGAAAGGTACCGTGATTACTGGACTTCTTTTACTGTTTACATTTTATTGATCTTAATGCCCCTACGCAATCTTGTACGTATGGTAGCATGGTTAATCAAGGTCAATCATAAAGGGTTCGATTTGTTTCTCTGTTGTCTTCTAGATCTCCGGTTGTGTTCTATCTCACTTTGTGCATGCATAGTCATTCCCAAGCTCACGTTTGCAGCCTAGTTCGATCCATTCTGTTTGAATGGCCAGCTCGCATAACACTTTATTTCCTTTCGAAAAACCATAATTTTCAATTTTAATTCAATATAATTTATTATTATAAATTATCGGAGCCGATTCTTTTTTCTTGAAAACAATACGTAAGAGTATGCAGGGGCGGATCCAGTCGATTATTTTGGAGGGGGTCATTGTATATTTTTGTTTAATAATAAAAATGTATTATTATATTTTATTTTGAAGTGTATATATCATAGTGTGCAATATTATGTTTAAATAATTACATAATTCTAACATAATTAAGTTTTATATCAATTTTGCCAAATCAAAGAAGTGACAAACGAAAATTTCAGGCCTTTTTGGGGGGCGGGGGTCACGCCCCCTCCCCTTCGATCCGCCCCTGAAAGTATGTAACGTGAACGCGTACAGTAGACGCTTGTAGAATACTCCGTTTCTACGCTAACTGCTGCAGGTGTATGGAACCCGCTCCAACGCAGCGCTGGCTCCCGAAGAACGAGAGCGAGGGCGGGTAGAATGCTGGCTGTGCGCCCGAGGTTTGCTCTCATTGCACCAGCGATAGAGCCCGCACCGTCCCGCCCTGCCCCTTCCCCTCCCCGCCACGCCCCACGCAGCCGCTACAAGGGTCTGAGACCCCGAGCTCAGAAATAGAGCAATGTGGATAGAATTATGAAAAACATTTTTTTTCATCTAGTAGAACTTGACAAACACATCGCATTTGATGATTTCCATTTGATTTGAAAGCCCTATAAAAGCTGTAGAACCGAGTGTTCGTTGGAGAACGTAGGTGTAATTAGATAATGGGTTTTCATTATGTTTTTCTCTAAGACTCAAATGAGGATGTGTGGCTTCACCTTGCCGGATTTTCCTGTCCATTTTGCGAATATGAGACTGTAATTCATTTGCTATTTTTTATTTTTTTTAAAATTTTTTCATGTTTCATTGCATTAATGTTCATAAAACATTGCTGAATTATTGTCATTAAAAATGACACACGTCTTCAAGTGGCATCACTAAACGTGAAATGCGCATTGCCTGCCTCCGTTGGTGCAGCGTCTGCGGTGGTGACTTGGATGCAGGTGCGGACCCAAGGCCTTCATGAATGAGACAGAGTCAACGCGTCCACATCCTCGTGAGCTTCACCGCGTAATGCGAGGGATATTCTCATGATTCATAAGGTCCACTAGAAACAGTCTAGTATTTCCTCAATGACAGACAAAATTATTGTTTTTTTCTTTTTCTTGTGTTTTTTCCTATTCTATTTGTCGAAATTACTTTCACGTGCAAGTAATAGCTGGTTGATTTGAGATGTAGATGTTGCAAAGTTAAATCATTTCGTAATTTCTTAGTATTCTTCCCTTATAGTTAATGGCTAAGATGCTACTACTCAACGACGTACCTTCATTATAAAATAATCCTGTATTTATAATTTCGCATGTGTTTATAAAACGCGATTAAAGAAAAGTCAGCGGGATAGAAAGTAAGATCTGGGTCCTGGCGTTTAAATTTGGGGCAGATAGCCAAGCGCGTTCCGTTTGCTGCGCATATCATGTTCGTTTTGTGGCATATCTCCGTGAGGTAATTCATATCTACACAGATAACGACACCACGTTAACAGGTTGGGATATTTGCAATATTCCACCGTACGTGCCTTGTTATTATCTTCTCCAATTTCGTTAAATTACATGGCTTATGAATCAGAGCCGGAAATGAACCTACGTAAGAATATTTCTTCCCAGTTATTCTCAGAAAAACAAAGGTTTGTTATGTAATATATGTCATGTGTCACGTTCGTCAATTGTTGTTAGTAAGTCAGTTATAAATTCGTGTAAAATTTCTTAGATGTATGTAATTTTGTTTCTCAGTAAATTTAAGTAAATTGTTATTAAGTAAATTTATAAAATAACATCCAATTAATGTACAAATTTCTACAGTTCTTTAGGTGTAAATGTTCTACTGAAATAAATGAAAAGTAATACTTCATGAATGCCCATGAGTAATAAAAATGGCAAATCAAGAGTATCAAATGATTGATAGATGTGTTGAACACCTTACACGACTGTAAAATACACATTTCTCACGTCAAAACTCATTAGTGAACAAAGAGCGGGGACTGTCATTTTCCTGGTAAGAAACGAACAGCATTAATGAAACAAAGATACACTCTTATAAAAAGTTCACACTTTTCACTACTTCATTAGAATTATAGCACATTTTAAATATTTTTTTATTTGCCTTTTTGTTAGCATTTTAATTTATTGGTGAAGAATTAAGGCAAATTATAATGTCTTTTGCACTTTTTAGGCATATTTTTGTAAGAAAACTGATTTAAAATCACAATTTTCCGACGATAAAAAAGTGATTTATTTTCCCACGAAAAATCAGGGCCGTCCTTTAGTTGTAACATTGACACCTCGTGAGACCCGTTCTGAAGGAGCCACGGCGAGCTGGGGTGCTTGCGAGCGCAAGAGGCGAGTACTCACCAGGGCGCCGATCTCGTTGACCGGTGTCTGCGGCTCGTCGTCCAGGGCCGAGCGCGGGTAGGAGGGCGCGGCGGCGGCGCTGGGCACGAGCCACAAAGCAGGCCACCATCAGCCAGCGCCGTCACCCGGCTCCCCGCCTCTCCGTAAGCTCACTCGCGTCTCCATGCTGGCTGCGTCCCGCTCTTCACTGCGCTCCGCCACTGATCTCTCTGCGCACCGGTTGGCCGGTGACTGATCCGTCCGTCTGTTGGCGATCGAAGGGCAGGCTTGCCGGTGGTGATCGACGTGTGGCAAGGCAAGCCCGAACCACCGCCCGTCAAAGAGAAGGAAGCTCTCGCGAGCGCCCGAAAACCGTACTAGCACACGCTCCAATACGAATCCGGGCGCAGGCGCGGGCGCGGGCGGCGGCGACGGTGGCGGCGGCTGGCGGCGGGAGACTGCGCGCGGCGCGGCCGGCGCACCGCTTTATAGCGGCGGCCTCTGAGTCATGCGCGGGCGGCGGGCCCGGCCGGGGGGCGGGCGGGGCGGGGGCGGCGGCGGCGGGCCCCGCGGAAGGACGCCGCGGCGGCGGCGGTGGCGGCGGCAGCGACCGTCGTGGACGCGCGCCTGGACGCGAGGACGCAAAACGCAAGGGCCGGGCCGTCCGCTCGCAGCGAGACTGCCAGACGGCGCGATCGCGCAGAGATAGCGCCGCTCTTCCGCACATCCGCCTCCGCCCCGCGAGCCGCAGAGGAGGCGCAGGCCGCCCCGCAGACGCAGTTTGTCTCCACTTGCGAGATGCGCGCCTCTCGTTTCCGATGGCCCTCGCCCGCACGTGGCCTAGCTCCAGACTCAGCTGCACGTTCCCCCGGCGGACAAGGAGCGATTAAAGAACAGAGCAGATGGCTCCCTCAATAGCCCATATCTGTCAATAATTATAATATGATAAATGAATCATAGACTCATATTCTAACTCTCAGTCGACCCTGATTTGTTAACTATTTTTTCCTTTCAAAAAACACCCAGAATACAGCGCTGCTAGCATAATCCAATGGCGGTAGAGGCCGCATAATTCAAGGGTTTACGTTATTAATACACATAAAATTCTGGAATTTCAGTTCTTTTGAAGCTTTTATTACGAGAAATTTCATTTTACGTTCTCGTCTTAACATGTTTATGTTATAAATTTGCTGCACTTATATTTTCGTATTTATCTTTATTTATATGTTAATCCAATAATGTTTCTTTAGTAAGTAATATTGTATTGGCTGTAACAGGTTTAAGCATTTTCTATTATTCAAATTAGTCTCCTTGTATATTATCTACTGTACATAACTAACAACAACGGCAATAATAATAATAATAATAATAATAATAATAAATAATAATAATAATTAATAATAATTAATAATTAAATATATTGCGCACAAATATTAGTTTACATACGTGGCTTATAAATCCAAGGGGGATTACTATGGCATTCTGAAATGATTTAAACTAAAATCGACCATGGAAAATTGTTGGTATGTCACGCCGAATTCACCGAATGATATGCAGATATGACTTCTTCATGCAAAGGAGTCGGCGCAAGGCAGTGATATTGATGTGCTTCGATTGAGCGTGACATCCTTCAGGAGGGCATCCTTCAGGCGAAGGAAGGCTTCCGCGTCGCAGGCTCCTTGAGGCCGCCCCCGCCTCCTCTTGGATTCCTCGCGCGGGTCCTCCGCGGCCCCATTAGCCGCCCCGTGATGCATCTGCTTATGCGGCCGCCGCTCGCCGCGAAATCGAATGCGTTTTTCTGCCTTCCTTCCTTTTGCTCTCGCTCTCGCCTGGGCTCTCAAATAAATCTGCCTGCAATTACTCGTGAAGTGCACTCGTATATTACTGCGGCTAAGCTAAAGCATTCATTTGAACGTGATTAATCTACTTAGGGTGAGGGATTCTGAGCGATCATCGCTTTCGAGAACTTCTGCTGAGGCTGCCTTATGGTTAAACATAGCTTGAAGGAGGGGAGAAACGGTTTCAAAGGCGTGCATAATTTCGCACCTTCGTGACATGAAACGCATTTTTTCGCAACACAAATACGGAGTAAGTTTTAAATGTTTCCGGGCTCGTCGACTGTTCGGATCATTGACCCCGTAAGTCAAGTGCATGTAGTATCCCAGGAAGTGGTGGAGGTCCTCCCCCGCTGGAACGAGTTTCAGCTCCGATCTACGAACGTGAGACGCATGATACCCATCTCCGCCCTACTTCTCCACTTGCGGGTTTCCCACGTCGAGGTATCTCCCTCAGCGTGACATCTCCTCACCTAGAACAAAGTCTAAGCTCCGACTAATTTCTCAACATGTGTGATAGCGCAGTGGTTGTAAGAGTAAGTGCGTAAGAGAAGAGGAGGGGATAATGATGAGGAAGGAAAGATTGCGTTCGTTCCGTGGTCCGTTAGTTAAGGTACTACTCCTGCAATCCCCCGGTGTTCATCGGAGAAACAACGGGTAACTACCAAAGAGAGTAGCTGGCCACTGGAATTCTCCACCTGTCAGTGGATGGAATAGAACTAGCTACTAGATCGAAAATAGGTCACTGCCCGGGCTCGGTCCCTAGGTTCTCCCGGACAACGAGCAGTGAGAGCAACGGTATTTCTACAGAGACAAATATGGATCAACAAACAAAATTTATTTATATATGAAAATATTTTTCTTCGAATAATCATAAAAATTACCAAACAAATACTTTATTTATATTTCATTCATGCAAACTTTTATGAACGAAAGTATGTGTACAATAAAACTCATGCCTGCTTTAAAGAAAGTTATAGCACAAATGATCCATATTGTCTTTGTCGCAAAAGCACTTCGAATGTGAAACGACACAAATGGTTCTGGAATCCCAGCAGAGAACCCGGGAATATCTTAAATGTCTGCGCCATGAGGCAGCGCAGAAGCGTCTTGTGCGAGAGGCACGCCCCCTAGGGCCGGTGACAGCGCCGCCGGGGCGATCGACCTGCCACCTCCCCCTCCCACTGGACACCTCGCGTGGCCGCGCCCACGCGCAGCGCTATGGCCCCTCAGCATCCGCGGCAGTGAGTCAAACCCCTCGGAAACAGGTTATTGGACCTTGGGCTGAGATTCTTGCCGGGCGTATCATTCCGTAAAAAAGTGGTGGATGGGAAAATCAAAGGAAAAGAGACATGCAATCAAAATAAATGCGAATTATACAACATTAAGAAGTATAGTGAATTTTGTTCAACAGTTTTACAGTTAAAAAGCTCATTAATAAAACAATTAAAATCCATTGTAAAAAATTGGAGGTCAGGTATGAATCAAGAAAAATTATTCTTTTGTGGTTTATACTGTAATTAAGTAAGCAGATGAACGAGGCTATTACTATTCATAATACATCAATTGTAATTGTATAATTTTAGTAATTTCAGATTGTAAATGTAATATAGTATTTCCTACAACGCAGTGTGTATTTTGATTTTTTAAGTCATAATAAGTCTTTTATAGTCTCGATAAAGAGTAAATATATAGCAAAATCTTTGAAAAATATTCATCATTATAGATTTACAATATGTCGTGTGTTTTGAAAGAGAATATTATCACACTTTTCAAAGTTATCCTCTAGTTTCCTCATATGATTTTAGGAATACTTATTAATTTAATAAAACATTCTTGTTTTTTAAATTGTACGTTGCTTTGTATTTTATAATCGTATCTTAAAATATCGTATTATTGGTCTATTTTATAGTAACTTTGGACTATAGTGCTTTATTCTGAGTTCAGAAATATTGTTTCTCTCTGAATTAGATTTGTGATCGTTGCGTTAACACAAATAATGTGGTAAATGGTTTAACAACATACTGTAAATCGACTATTAGCTATGAGATTTGTCCCAAAATATTGTTCTAATATTTACTCTCCTTTGAACAAATTAATCCGCGAGGAGAATCCACGTGAGGGTGAGAAGGGGGAGCCCCAAAGCGAATGAGCCATTCGCGGCGCCCCGCCCTCCTGAGCTTCTCAGAACAGCGCCTCGCTCACTCGCAACAAATGAGTCACTCGGTGACAATACAAAATAGCTCAGTGCTTCGGAAAACAATACACGAAACAAAAAGGACAAAATATTTTATATCACATCCAAGATCTTCTTTCAGAAATAACATCATATATTTTGTACTCTTAACCACATCCTACAAAATACGAAAAATACAAGTATTTTTACCTCAGTGCTTTTACATTTAGATTGCGATACATAATTTAAAGTTGTAAAATAGTGGGCGGCGTAACTTGATAGATGATATAACAACTTGGGTTTTAAGAGTATTTTTGGTCAACCGTTTTGAGGAAACCGCTGCTTGAGGGAGGAGTGAAATTTATTCAAGAATTGAAAATTATTTACTTTTATAAGAAAAAAGAAAAAGTTCACGAATCTTGTCAATTTCAATTAACTAAGTGATAACACGTAATTAGGCATTTATCTTTACTCCTTCTAACATATTTACGTCACTTTTAATAATCTTAAGTTTTCCTGGCGTGATCGAAGTTGTATTGACTCACAGACCTGACACTACATACATACGTCATCCTAGCTTCATCCAGAAACTAGCGTTCGTATGTTCTTAGGATCGTTCATCAGATTTACGTGACAACAATAAAATTCTAGCATGCATATCTTAAACTCATCATCATTTTTAATTTTAAGAAGGTTTACGATTTACTTTGCGTCTAATCATACGTCATGGCACCATATATTTGAAGGCGGAAGAGAAGAATAAGCTGAAATATTATCGATATCCTCCTATGTTCTTCAGAAGTGAAGAAGCTTAGCCATGCCGGTAAACGTTGAACTGACGAAACTGAACAATCTTATGACGACAGATGCAAGGTTCTTTTTGGACGAATGTACGATACAGAAGACTCTCAATTACGATTAAGGATATTTTACATTTGGAATGCTTCAGATTAATTTCGTTCATATAATCCTTATTATTAATGATGAGGATATTTTAGTCTTTTTCTGCAACAGAAAAGACAATGGAAAATCATAATATACTATTTCGACGAAATTATGCTATTTGTAGTGTTACAACAATGTTAATAAATAATTAATGAAATTTA